TAATCATATAGGCCTAAGTTCACTTCGAACAATTCACAGATTTAAAAGTTTTCATGATGCACTGTTAATTTTACTACTGTTAACACGTACATTATTTATAACTGAAAGCTATTCCACACCAGATAGGCCAATATTACTGCTAGTGTAACGAACGCCGTTTGTGTGAACACTTTGGAATTTTAATCCGTGGATTAGCTTACGCCTGGCGTAAGCCACGCCAGTCTTACGCCGTGTGTGTGAACATAGCCAGAATCTTATCTCAATAATCCAATTAAACATCAAAGAAGAATACCTCTACTTAAGAGTCATTATCACAGCAGGCATTGCTGTTTCTCAATAAATTACCAGTATAGTATTTAAAAACCAGGCTGGAAAATTTTAAAAACCTGTTGTTCAAAATAATTTGGCATTTTTATTACCTTAGCTATGATTTCAGATAAAAATCATAATAGATATGCTTTTGAATTTTAAAGTTACAACATGGTTTTTGATTTAATTGTGCTAGTTTTCTTATGAACTATTCACAACTAATGAGCCTCACTGTTAATCTTGTTACAAAATTCCCTGAAGCAGTAATTAATAGAGATAAGAGATCTGCAAAACCTGGTTCAAAATTGTAAAATTTGGTAAATGGTGAAGTTTCCTCATGCACAATTTTGTGTTCGGTGGTGGGGGTGGGGATGTGGCCTTATGTCAGAAGAACTACAGTATTTTCATTTGGATGATAATTAAAGATATGGACCCAGTGTTAATTAAATATTATTTATATATTTTAATGATTCAATGTACTGTCAATATACTATATAATATACGGCGCCTTGAGACGATTTTATTGTGGAAGGCGCACTACAAATATCCCACCATTACCATTACCATTACTAATTGTAAATAAAAAAATACTTTTAGAATAATAAAATGTGAATGAAATTAATAAATAATTTTAACTACACATAAAGCCATGTAGACTTGCTCAAGAGTAGATTGGACCAAACAATGAACTACTCAAGAGGCTTACCTTGCTTGCTGGGGGTGGTGTTTGGGCTGTTTTGAATAAGGCAAGACATTATTATGCCTTGTTTTGCAGGAGGGCAGGAAATGATAAAAATAATATTTTGTTTTCTTATTTAGCCAAATGGTTTTGCCAAAATTATCCAGATGGAGGAGAAAATTAAAATAAATTGGTATTGTTATTGTTGAATGTAAACAGTGTAGTAATAGGAGAGTTATATAATTCGGATGAAATGTCTTATTTTTTGAGGTATCAAGACAGTGGCAGGTGTAATAAAAATAAGAAAACTTTTTTTTTTTAAATATCCCTTTTTGTCATTATTGGCGGGTGGCAGTTTCACGAAAGAAGGTACCTGTATAAAAAAAATCTTGTCTGATATGAAATGGTCTGGAACCTAGGCCAGTTCTGGATTAATTATGCACCGAAATAACGGATACCCGCATCACATCAGAGTTCTGTTCAGTGTTAGTGAGTTTCATTTAGGGACCACAGTAGAATTAAGTTGACTGTAAAGTAAGGCCTTGTGCAGGGAATATATCGATCTCCACGCAAAAATTTGGCCTAGAAATATGTTCGTGCATTTTGGAAAATAAGGGCTGATTTCCCCACAGATTTTGCCAAAATTTACGGTTTGACCTAATCTTAATATATTTAGTGCAGTAATTTAATGGTATTGTTAAAGATATATTGCCACTTAAACAAAATGCAGTACCTGTAAGATGTAAACTTGAAAATCATTAATTTGTATATACAGTATTTTAATATGTTTTTAGCTTTTAAATAAAATTCAGAATGAAGAAAAAGCTACTGATGTTTTAATGAAGTTATAAAATGTTTGTAATTTCTGTAGTAAAAAATCGGTAAATCACTGAAAACGTTTTTCTGATCATGCCATGTTTTCGTAAAGATGTTTTTTTGAGTAAGATCCATGTACTTCGATTTTTAATGTTTTGATTATTGAAATTTTACATACTCTTTTTAATATTCTTTCTTTTTGAAAGTCTTTGGATGTGTGCTGAAAGTTATGAAGTGTTCTTAGTAACCAAATGATGCTAATGTGACGATATCAGGGTGTAACAATGTGACATTCAGGGATAATATGTAAATGTAATTTTAATGATATTTTCAAGGGGAATGTTGATCTTATAGCCACTTAATTGTAGCTATTGGGTGTGTCAATAAAATTGTTTATCATATTGTGAGTGTGTTTTGTTTTTGAGGTGTTTTTTTATACTTCAACATTTCATGGAAAAGTTAGATAATATGTGCTTTATTAATAGTTAAAATAGTTTTGGAATTACTAGATGGACATTTGTTGATAGGAAATTTTTATTTTCATGAGGATTGTGCTGTCTGTCGATTGAGGGCGGTATTGTAGAAATTCATAGTATCAGATATTAATTGTTATTTAGTTTAATTATCCTCACAACATTTGCAATACAGAGTCAAACAAATTTCTTCTTGGAGAGCATTCTGAAACATGTCATAAATTTCAAACCTACCAGTTTTCATTCCAATATTTTGCCACCAGGAACTCAAATATATTACTGAGTGAAGAAAGGCAGAATGCCAATTAAAGACAGTATCACCAGCAGCTATTAATTCTGCCATATCATCTATAATATTATATCATAATATCATATATGATATATTATAATATATATTATAATATAATAATATTATTATTATTATATTATTATTATTATATATTTATATTATATGATGATATATTATTTTTGTATCATCGACTTTCAACATTTTGCGCACTGAACTGTTTGACCCAGAAATCCAAATCAGCTGAGTACATTAGTCAAGACGTTTTATTCACATTCAACACCTTGTGGGCCACCACTTACAGAATAAAAAAGCAATGAAGAATATATATATATCTAACAAAATCATGGATAAATGAAATTAATTTTGATATTGATTAAACCTATAAAAAAAAACAATATGTAAAGTAGACATACACGCGCGAATAAGCGCCCGGGCGCTTAAAATATTTTTGCACTTTCTGAGGGGCGCTTATTAAAACGGGGCGCTTATGAAAAGAGAGTGGAAATTGAGGGGGCGCTTATGGAAATAGATGAAAATCGAAGGGTTCTTGTGGAAAATTATTAAATTTAAGAGGCACTTTTTAAATGAAAAAAGATTGTATAAGGACATTACGAATGGTGGTTAGGCGGAAAAGATAATCGTCCATAGAACATGGCTCGTGACAAGATCTGCGTGAATATTTACATAAACAGCAAAATAGAGTGCTTATGCTTGTTGGCCATCGGCCGATTGAGATTAGCAGGATTGCAGGATCAATGTATTTTTTATTTGAAAACTTAGATGAGAATGTGCTAAATGTGAACATTGTCGGAAATGAAAAAGGGAAGTAGGACTAGGCATAGACAAATATGTAAAAAGAGTAAAGTTGGAAATATACTGTCTGTCCAGGGATCTGAGCTCTTATCTGTCCAAGAGAAATATCCTCATTTTGATAGTGACCTAAGAAGAATGTGTTTCTGCAGCAGCTCAATTATGCCAACACAGTCCCAGGATTGATTGGATTATTGACTTGCTAAAAATCAAATCTTATGATATTATTCTTGGCGCTTATTCAAATTGGGCGCTTATTCGCGCGAGTACGGTACACAAGGAAAATGAAAATAAAGTTTATGTAAAGGATCATATATTTCTATTATATTGCAGTGAAAGTCAGTGAAAACTGATATGTTCTTAATCTTTTTTTATTGAAACTCAAGACAAAAAAATATCAGATCCTTTGAAATGATCTTTTCGATTTTATTCGAACTGTTTATGGTCATCTTTATTATGACAAAATATCGGAAACAATTTGACAAACAACAAAACCCTTCCACTCATTGGTGGCGGGCGATAAAAGTATTATTAGGCTACAAGTCCCAGTCGTTCTGTCATTTCTTATGGCAACTATGTGACGTGTTCGTTGTGACAAAGATACTAGAGGTTGTGATTAGTTTGATCCATAGAGGTATCGTCACGTCTCGATACTGTTTATTACGTTTCATCATTACATCCTCCATGACCTCATCCTTCCTAATGCCTGTCAAAGCATAGAATAATAAGTAGACATTATATGGTGGGATGGCCTTAGAATTATTGCAGTCTCCAAATGATTCAAAAGACTATAGGTTAGTAAACATGCCTGCAATATGCTACTAGGGCCTATATACTAAACTGCTGCTAGGCCTAGGCCAGGAGGCCGTTCTATTAGGCTAGTACTACTACTACTAGACCCACCCTAGGGCCTATATATAGGTAGTAGGCCTATGGGCCCTAGCCTAGCTGCTTATTACTCTCTTCTGGCTATCTATGCCCTCCGATCCTATGATGATTGATCATGATGGTCTGTGTATGTACCATACCATTTGTTAAAGTTTTGGAGACTCCAGCCAGATCGAATCTGGAGGGGTGGACGTATGCTTGGTAGTGATAAAGGAGGCAACAATTAGGGACACTCACCATACCAAAGATAGTGTACAGTACCGTATTCCTATCCACTGCCAAAAGTTAGCAGCGTTTCTTTATTCTTTATCTGCATGTACTTAAACTTTAAATAGGCCTATACCTATGAAATATATGTAATGACTAGGCCTAGGTCCTATTAAAGTTATTACATATTTTCAATGTATATAATTTAATGAATAATAATAATGTAATTTTCTCAATAATGTTTCTCTTTTAATTAAATTACTGTTCACCAAATTCCCTCCCCAGTTCTGTTCTGTTCCTCGTAAATCATGATCTTATCTAATACATCATAATTTGTAATTTCAGAATAATCACGCTCCAGAACAACCTGGTTGCCATTGTCATTTCTGACTTGGCATCCACCACCAGTTCTCATAATTCAGAACTCGACAAAAACGTCAACGTTGATGGTACTGGTAGTGAGAATGCAGGTGGACAAGAAGAAACAGATGATGATGATGATGAAGATGGTGATTCTGAAAACGAAGATGGCATGGATGGAATACAAGCTGACAGTGAAGATGAAATGGTGCCACTCAAGAAGAGAAAGATAGCACAAAAGAAATTGGTTAGTAGTAACTTTCTTTTCCGTCATTCATTTATGCATACAGTACATCTAACAGAAAATAATTCTAAAATCTGCCAATTTAAAGTGTGTGATGCCTGCCTTTATAGGCTGTGAAGCTTAGGGAGGCTAGTTAGAAGTTAGAAAAAAAATCAAAAAATTTAAAAACTTCATTTTTTATTAACATTTTTTCAGAGGTGGCTCCAGAAATTTGCCGAACCAAGAGGCCAGCTAGAGCCTCCTCGGTCAGGGTCCAGGAATAAAAATCTCTGATTAAGTTCATGGGTAGTTTTTATGGCTTAGTAAGCCCAGATGTGCTTTAGATCAACTCATTAAGGATTGCCAATCAAAATAATGTTATTGGCAAATTATTATTTTTGGTACGAGGATCTCACCATGGCATCGGACGGCACCAGCGGCGGGGTTACTGGCCTGTCCAATGTGGGAGGGGAGGGAAATTCCCTCGCTGACCCACTGCTTGCTCCATCACTACTATATACAGTATCATTTATTATTTATTAATTGATTTTAATAGTTTTCATTATTGTTATTGTAACAGGCTGCTGCAGCTCTAAGCGTTGGTGTTGGAAGCTTTTCTGATCCATCGGATATCCCTGGATTAGCTCACTTTCTTGAACATAGTAAGCTTTTATTTTATAACTCTGCAACTCATGACACACTAATTAGAAAACTGAGGTCTTCCAGCAGCAGTGGCCAATGCTGTAATAAATTCAGAACAACTTTTAGTACAGGCCTACCATGTTGCTGCTGTTTCCATCTCTGCTACATTTACACATTATTTATAAAGATGATGATGACTATACATGTTTGCAATAATGCATATATCAGCAAATATTATATTACTTTATGAATTGCATACTTTCAGTGGTGTTTATGGGCAGTAGCAAATACCCTGATGAGAACTCATTTGATGCTTTTGTAAAGCGTCACGGCGGAAGCAACAATGCATCTACTGATTGTGAACGGGTAAGTTAGAATGAATATTAATTATATACAGTTCACTCTCCAATTCGAAACCACCTTTAAGACCTGAAAATTTAGGGTGGTCTCATTGTCAGTCTCTAATTAGTGGGTTAGCTTTGTGTTAAAAAATTTGAAGATTGTTAATACTATAGGTTCTTTGAAAAAGTGGGCTTGAATTAGAGGGATCTCAAATTGGAGGTGCACTGAATGGACAGATTGTGACGTTCAACCTTTTCTACTCCATTCTGTGTGCTAATTTACCTATTATCTGTTTGACCTCTATTCTGTGAAAGAAGTTTATGAAACATTTGCAATCTTTTATTTTCATGTAAAACAGTAACAGTCATTATATATACCAATAAAAAGATTATTAATAATTTGGAACAGTATAAAATGTGTATTACACTTTAGTTATACACACTTTACATCAAATTATGTAACAAAGTGCAAAAAAATATATAAATAAATAAATCCGATAGAAACTCTAATGTTTCTATAAATCCTCTAAAAGTATATTTTATTCTATTTGTTTTTTGTTATTTTGTAAGTGACGCACCACACATTGAGTTGAGCACAACCCATGTAAGTGCTGAATGCCAATAAACTACTTTACTTTTTTAGACTGAATTTCATTTTGAAATTGATAGCAACTTCTTTCATGAGGGATTGGACCGCTTTGCTCAGTTCTTTATCTCGCCCCTGATGAAGGAATCCAGCACTGACAGAGAACTGGAAACTGTCGATAGTGGTAAACAAAATCTACTATTAACAAATGCTGTGTTCTGCCCTGGACAATAAGCTGTAACGGCCCTGTTACAGCTTAATTCGGAAAGAAAGTTTACCATTTAATTTACCATTACACCTTGTATCTATTATTATTATGACTGGGAAATGTTCAGTTTATCAATAAAATGTAGTTTATGATTACAACATAACGCTTTAAAAGAATTGTAATAATAAGAATAAAAGTGCTTATAACTGTGCTATTTGTCTAAAAACATTTTACATAACATATACACATTTTATATAATAATGCTATTTATAATATTGAATAATATATTGTTAATTTTTTTATACATGAGTGCTAGTTTAAAAAAGAAAATTTATAGAATTTGAAATGAGTCTTGTGGCACATAATGTACATAACAATACACTTTAAAAAAAAATCCAAAAACATTCATGAACTCCTAAAACTAACTGAGTGTACACGTTTTATATAATAATGTTATTTAATACTATTTAATATTTATTAAGATCTTTATGCACTGTATGTGTTAATTTTTCAAACTATAGAATTTCAAATGCGTCTTCAGGATGATTATTCTCGTAAACAGCAGTTGTTTGGTACTTTCACTAAAGAAGGTCACCCACTTGGAAAATTTATGTTTGGTAAGTTGGTATTTATTTATCCCTTCCTTATAATTGTAGCAGGTTTATAGCATATTTACCGTATTTTTATTTGAAAAACATATCATAACATACTTTTTATCTATAAAACATAACAAACATTTGCTCAAACATTGAACAAACAAGGAAAAAAAACTACTGTTGGTCAGATATACATCGTTGCACCAGTGAACCTTGCGTTCTGTTGTGGAAGTTGACACTTCAAATATCAGGTGATTGATTGATTGATGGATATGTCCAAATCAAGTATAAACAAAGTCTGATCAAATATAGTTTGTCTGACATTGGCAGACAAGCAACTCTATGCCCAGCTTTATTCTATGAGTTTGAAAATATTTTTTTTGGGTCTGTTTGCAGGCAATACAACAACTCTGAAACTGGATCCAGTTAGCAAAGGTATTGAAGTACACAAACAACTTCAGAAATTCAGACACGCAATGTACTCCAGTGATTATATGACACTTGCTGTACAGTCTACAGGTGAGTGGTGTTTGTGTCAGAGGTTGGTTGTGTACATGTCTGGAGGAGGAGTAGTTTGTGGTGATTAGTTGATGATGACCAATAGTAGATGATTTAATGTGACTCTTGACCTTCAACCTCTGAACAGAGGATTTTTTTTGGTCAGAAAGTTGGATACTCTAGAGGAGTGAGTGAGGGAATATGATGACCAAATTAGTAGGAAATTTAATTGGACCCTTGACTTTTCATATTCGAACAGAGTTGTGTTTTAATTATTTTTCAGAAAGTTTGGATACACTTGAGGAGTGGGTGAGGGAATCGTTCTCAGACATCCCCTCCAAGTAAGTAGAAAGTAAAGGGAAGAGCATTAGGTGACTAGGTATGTTTAATGAGGTATACATATAATGATGGTAATGATGATGGCAACAATAATAGCTTGGGTTGCTGCAGTGGTCAATGGTCATGTACTTTTATAGCGCCTTCCACATTAAAAGCCGTCTCAAGGTACTTTTTTAGCCACTCAAAAACTGAAATTTAGTTTATGAACAGGCACGAATACGAAGGGGAGGAGGAAGTTGCACACCCCCGATTAAGAGATAACGTCGCCGTCACTACTATGTACACACAGGAACCTCGGCATCACTAAGCTGGGCTCCGGTAGCTCCCACCGAGGGGTGATGATTGGAACAAAGAAGTGGTGTAACAATAGTTGATATGTCATATTATAATGTAATGGACTATATTTTTCTTGCAGTGGTCTTCCTAAGCCAATGTACTCTTTACATGCAGATCCCTTTGTGTCAGACAAGTTCCACAAACTATACAAAAGTAGGTTTACAAGTTATAAGAACCATAACACAAGACCATCCTAAAAAGCATTTTAATTTTTTATCAAAAGACCACTGTTATTTAATTTTGTTTGTTGCATTATTCTTGACTTCCAGTTGTGCCCGTACAAGATTTGAACGAGTTGGTAATAACTTGGAAATTTCCATGTTTGTTCAAAGAATACAAGTAAGCACAATCTTTGTACTACTGTATAACACGTCAGGTAGGGCAAACATCGGTTAGTAAAAACCTACAAGTATTCTAAATTTGTGGTTAGTTTCCGGGAGATTTCTCCTTACTCACAAGAGTGGGAAACTGCTAATTTCCCGGGAAACTCCCACTATTCACAGGAGACTTACCCTTGGCAATCTATGTTTATTGTTTATCCTGTATATTATTTTATATATTATATTTTACGAATTAAGAGACGCTTACTACATAATTTCAAAACAAAATTTAATGACAAAAAAGGTCGATGTTTCGGGTCCATCATGGAACCATTCTCAAGATCAAGTAAATTGAAAAAACTAAAAACAAAAAAAACCTAAAAACAAAAAAAATAACAAGCAGTGACAAGAAGTAAGTAATTAATTTACATATCAATAGGGCCTACTGTGTGGAGCCATGGTGGAGCTAAGCAATAATTTGCCCTTAGCAGATTAACTAGATAAACAGTTTGGCTTTGACTAAATCAGTTTGTTAAGTGTAGGTTTCAGTTCTTTGATCCAAAGCATTTCTTTAATTAAGCAATCAAACTTGGATTTGTACTTAGATAAAACCTTGAAATAATTAACAGTTTCAGTAGCACTAATATCATGATCTTTTAAATGTTGTCCTATGTTACCTTTACTGTGCTCATCAATGCGTTGATAAAGGTGTCGACAAGTGTAGCCGACATAGCTTGCATCGCACAAGCCACATTGAAATTTATAAACAACGCATTGTTCATTAACAATCTTAGGTTTACTTTCTTTCGATTTTAAGATTTCCCCTATCTTCCTGCTAGTGAATACGGGCATAATTTCATTATTAATCTTACAGCTAAGCTGTTTAAGTTGTTTAGATACAGTGTTGGAACAAGTTTGATCTTTAAATGGTAGAACAATTCTGATGGGTTGATCGATAGCTTCTTGTCTGGTAGTAATAATATTATTGTAGATGTATTAACAATATATTGTTTAAAATCATTAATGATACTACTGATTAATTCCGCTGGGTAATTTAATCTATCAAACATAGTTGCAATATCAGTTGAAATAATTCATTGGTTGATGATAATTTGTAAGCTCTACTAAGCATAGTGTGTAGAAGATTTCTTTTGTATTTATTGTCTACATGACTATGACATAATGTAAAAGAATATCTTTGTTAGTAGGTTTCTTGTACACTTTAGATTCCAATGATGAAGACACCCTACTGATTGTAGGGTGTCTTCGAGGTTGCTCATGAACATGTTGGCCATTAGTGGTCCAAGTGGAGAACCCATGGCTACACCGTCAACTTGCTCATATAGATCACCACCATATTGAAAAAGTTGGTTTTTCGTGGCAACCGTGAGTAGATCGACAAGACCTTGTCTGTTAATTGATAGACCATACTAGACATTAAACCAATCATGCTCAAAGGCTTTATCAGCAAGGATTTGAATGGTCTCATCGAGTGGAACATTAGTAAATAATGAGACGACGTCATAAGAAACTAGCAGGTCATTGGTACCAATAGTAGTTGAATTGTCTGGAATTGTGAAGTCATTGCTTGTTAATGGTTTTAGTTTCTCATCTAACCATTGAGCTAGTTTATAGTTGTACGATCCAGTAGCCGATAGTATTGGTCTCATAGATAATGTTTCCTTGTGGGTCTTGGGTAGACCATAAAGATGAGAAAGTCTAGAACCTTGCTGAGTGAGTGTGGTGGCTACTTCTTTAGGGAGAATATCATGAACAGTACGAGATAATTGTTTCTCTTTCACTAGTAGTGATTGGCCTACCTCGTGTTTTAGGTTCTGTGTTACTGACAGGTATAAACTTAGAGGTGTTGTTGATCAACGCTTCACAAAGAAGTTTATCATATTGAAGTTTATCCATAACTACCCCTGAACCTTTGTCTGGTTTGGTAATAATGATGTCATCTCTTTTCTTTTTTAATTGTCCTAATGCGCGTCTTAAAGCGATGCACAAATGTTTATAAATTTCAATGTGGCTTGTGTGATGCAAGCTATGTTGGCTACACTTGCCGACACCTTTATCAACGCATTGACGAGCACAGTAAAGGTAACATAGGACAACATTTAAAAGATCATGATATTAGTGCTACTGAAACTGTTAATTATTTCAAGGTTTTATCTAAGTGCAAATCCAAGTTTGGTTGCTTAATTAAAGAAATGCTTTGGATCAAAGAACTGAAACCTACACTCAACAAACAAACTGATTCAGTCAAAGCCAAACTGTTTATCTAGTTAATCTGCTAAGAAGGGCTATTATTGCTTAGCTGCACTATGGCTCCACACAGTAGGCCCTATTGATATGTAAATTAATTACTTACTTCCTGTCACTGCTTGGTATTTTTTTTGGTTTTATTTTTAATATACTTGATCTTGAGAATGGTTTCATGATGGACCCGAAACGTCGATCTTTCTTGTCATTAAATTTTGTTTTGAAAATATTATATTTTATATATTTTAAAGTATTATTTGATTAAATATACTTTCAGGTGTAAACCGCTTCATTACTTATCTTGGCTGATCGGTCATGAGGGGCATGGCAGTGTATTAGCTTGGCTCAAGAAAAGGTTTGATTCTAATAGCTTTCATTTCTTATAAAAAATATCTGTATCCAAAAATATCACTGTGCACTTCATGCCATTTACTTAAGAAATATAATCATCACAGTATACTTTGGTTAAATGTATTGTTTTAATAAGAAGAAAACACAGCATTTGAAAGTGGCAGATCCAGGAATTTGAAATAGAGGGGGCCCAGGGAAGTACTTAAACTGATAGGGGTCAATACCACCTCAGCTCCAACCTGAGGGGGGGCTGAGGTCAGAAAATTTATGATTATGGCACCTCCAGATGGCCGGAAATGGCACTCTCGACTTATATTCTAATCTGCCACTGTTTAGAATGATTCCTAAATTTTCTTGAAAATATCACGTTTCATAAAAAAAAACAAAATGTGTGTTTAACATCTTGCTCTCTGTTCTGTGTATGTATATTTTAAAATAAAAAATTAATTAATTAATTAATTAATCAATTAACTTTCAGTCAATGCTGAAACAATTTTTTTTTTTCTAGATCATTTGCTCTTAACCTATGTGGTGAAAATGATGGAACTGGGTTTGAATACAATGAAACTTGTGCAATTTTTAGCATTACTGTTCAGCTGACAACAACAGGGCTGACCAACATAGATGAGGTATTTTTTTTTTTATGTAAAATGTTCCCTAATGTAGTTTGCTTCCTCCCAGACTAGGTAGTAAGCACTAACATCTTGCCTGTGTTTTGTTTTTTCCAGGTTGTATCTATAATCTTCCAATATATTAAAATGTTGCAAAAAGTTGGGCCACAGAAAAGGTAAGGCATCAGTGAAATAAAGGTGGGAGATGTGATGACCACAGTGGTGGTGACGGTGATGATAGAGATGGTAATAATCATAAAGTGAAGTCCCATGCTTGCCATCGCATTCATTCCATCAGCAGTCATATTTTTTAATATGCAGTTCAATAGATAAACCATTGTACAGTTTATCTTGCCTTTAAATCACACTCTGTAATTCTTGCAATGCATTTTAATTCTAAGCAATTTCTGTTTGTGCAACTTTTATGTATTTTAATTATTTTTTCTATATTAACTAATATGCTTGTATTTAAGGAACCATATCTTGTATCGTATCATGACCAAAAAATTGAAATTGACTTTTTAATATATTATCCACATTATAAGATTATAAATAATGGGTCATTTACTGAAATCAACTTACTATTGCAAAATTTATGAGTAAAGTATGGCGGCTTCTCTGTAGTAAATTATACAATACTTCCACATACTCAGTTTAATAACTAGCGAGAGTACGCTGGTTTTAGGATAGCAAGCCTTAATTGTAGTGATGATTTTAATGATGGCGATGATAATGAACTAATAATAATAATAGGTAGATTTATAAAGTGCAAATAAACAAGGTCTCTTAAAGTGGTAATTGTAGTAATGATTTTAATGGTTGTGACAGTGTTGATGAGAAAAGTGGTGTTGAATTGTTATGATTAAATTTGACCTAATTTCTTTAATTTCTAAGGATATTTGATGAGATAAAGACAATAAACGACAATGCATTCCGATTTCAAGAGGAGGTACAGTAATTAAATACAAATTGTATAAGGACATTGAATGATAAAAATTGTTAACAATAATAAATTTAGAAAAATAAAGGCTCTGAGCTGAACACTTCCAATATGCAAGTCACTGTGTCGTATTATTAAATGTTTAATTACAATAGATATATACAAACAATTTTAATGTACTGATTTAAAAATATACATTCAAAGGTATAGAAAGTATACCATGAGTCTGAGTGTAAGAATATTGGGTGACTAGTTAAAAGTGAGCAGCTGTATGGAATTAAAGACATGGCTATATTGGTAATTGTGAACGCCTCTTATGTAGGGAAAGCATAACATTTCTATTTTATGAATATTTCTCCTGAGTAAGCCTACTTTCAACAACTTCCTCACAAGCCCCAGCTAAGTAATTAAATTGTGGGCCCCTCCCTGGCACCCACGCAAAAATTAACCCTTTGGGTATGACCATACTCCCATTCTAATACTGTAACATTTTGCTAAGCAGTCCAATGACTAGGAACGATGGACAAATTAATGTAAAATAGCACCTATTAAGCTTGGCACACAGTATGTCAGACGTCGAGAGTAGGTGACAAATTTGTCTGCACTTTGAGTGCTTACCACAATGTCGTCTGCTAATGGTTAGTGGTAGTCTTAGCAAATCACTAAAAAAAAAAATTCATCGTGCAAACCTCATCTGTTGAATAGCTTCAACAGTCCATTAACGCAATGACATTTTAAAAAATATAGATTGGTAATTTACAGATTTTTCAGTCAGACACTTGTTATTTTTGATGTATTGGATTTTTGATGATTATTGGTTTTGTTTTTTTGTTTTTTTGATAAATGCTAATTAGATGGATGCTGTTGATTATGTGGAACTGATTTCAGATAATATGCAAATTTACCCACTGGAGCATTACCTCACAGGGCACTTACTTCAATTTGAATATGACCACAAGGTATGGTATTATTTGATTATTGAAATGCAAAAATATTCAAGCATTGATAATTGTTAAAACTTGGTAATGCATAATCTTAACTTTAATGCTACTGTGTCTTTGAACACTTTGAATTTCAAGTGTTATTGTGAATAAGACTAGCACATTTGAAAGCTCATTTCATACTCATAATACTGAATGTGACGACTATTTTTGTGCTGGGAGAGATACTGTCAGTAGATTGTCTACACACAATCTCTTCAGATTCAGTCAGTGCAAGTTTTTTGCATCGCAACAATTTTATGATTGTCATATATCATATTTTATATTGTATAAAAATTATCTTAGTTCCCACTCACTAGTTGAGTGGTTGCGAGCGGTTGATCCAGGGGCTTTGTAACCCGGAGCCTTATATCAGTGCCATCATATTATCTTGTAGATATGAAGGTACTTTTTCCATTTCTTGGATTGTTTCCTCCCCAGGCAATTAACAAATGTCTCTCACAACTAACGGCCGAGTCTGCTAATTACATGCTGTGGTCAAAGACATACCAGGAGTCATGTGATCAGGTGGAGCCCTGGTATCAGACTGCCTACAAGATTGAACAAGTGCCCTCGAGATGGATACAAGACTACCATAGTAAATTTCATTATTCTGTGAATTTTAACTTAATACTTGGTTGTGTAACCTATAAGATATAGTCATTGGTGCATATATAAACAAATATTATTTATAATTATTATTATTATTATTATTAGATTCTGAGGTTCACCCTGATCTACATCTTCCACATCCAAATATCTTTATTGGTAAGTGTTTATAAATATACTTGCTGACTTTTTAAAAGTATATACCAGCTTTAGATTTATTTTGTGTAGTTGTGCCTATTTTATTATATAATATCATATTGTTTGTAAAGTTCCAAAAGGAAGTTACTAAGGGAACCCGGAGGCTTTATACCTTAAATTAGCTATTACAAATATGTTAATATATACATTCGCTAAGATTACTTTTAAACCAGCATGGTTTGATATAGTTCGCTGAGGTTCACCTGAACTCTTTTGTCTTTTTTGACTTTTTTTCAAATATATTTTTCAAACTGAAGTTGATAAATCTCCAAAAATTTACCCATTTATTATACTCTTGGGTGGATGGAGAAAGATTTGACAAAAACATGTGATATGCCTAAATACGGCCATGATGACATCACATCATGACCATATATTGGCACACCTTGACTACAAGGGTATACAAGAGAATTTGATAGTCTGTACAGTGCTGTATAGAATGACAGGGAAATGGCATTTAAATTAAACTAAGATCTCAGAGTTGGGAACCATACTACAACTGTTGTTGTTCCAGTTAACTTCAGTTTTATCATTGAATTGTCCTGCTTACTTTAGGATATCAATTTTCAGTAGTTTTATTAAAAACTTTCAACCTTACTTTATAGTGGATGATTTCAGCTTGAAGACTGATGATGGACCACCATCTGAACATCCAATAAAGATACTGGACACAGAACAAGGGTGTGTCTGGCACAAAATGGACAATAAGTTCAAATTACCAAAAGGTAAACAGTTTTTTATGTTAATTTATGTATTCAGCTGTTATGCATTTATTTTTACTCTACAGTACATTAGTGGTACAAACATTAACACATAAATACAAGATTATGACCCCTAAACTGCAGGGAACAATACCAATGCTTGGTACGGCCAATGTTGCAACAGTATTTTTCGCACTGTTCTTTCTGTGGATGGACTGCATAAAATGTACATATGAATAAACAATAGAAAATGGGTGTAGCAATAACCAGGGGAACAATGTAGCCTGCAATATGTACAATTATTGACAATATGAACAATGAGGCCTAATACAGTAATGTGAAAAGTATTTTTGAGTCTTGCCATGATTTAGGAAAATGTTCTATAAAAACTGAGAAAGTAAATCTATGATCATAAACTTGTTTTTTGCAGCGTTTATCTACATTCACCTGAAGAGCTTGTTGGTGAACCAGTCTGCTATGAATCTGTGTCTCTTTGAATTTTTTGTTTGTTTACTTGAGCATAACATGAACGAGGTCACGTACAATGCCAAGGTAGCCGACCTCAGCTACAGCTTCTACACTGAAGAGACCGGCTTCATTATCATAATGCACGGTTTTAACCACAAGCTGCATGTAAGTAATGCTAGATTAGATATGAATAATAAGGCATCAGCGCAGCACAATTTCTTTGATGTATGATAAAGTGAATTGCTCAGAACTCCCGTAAAAAATCCATACTCTCTTCCGATTACTGTATTGTTATTAGGAAGATGGGATCATTGACTTAAAAGACAAAGTCATTAGAGTAAAGTTTTTGACTCGAAAAGGATACTGCTTGCAAGTCTATACACAGGCAGACTCATGTGAGGGTCCAGCTGTCCTGGGTCCGTCTTTCTGCGGACATCTAGCACTGCCTAGTCATAAAATTCCATGCCTGAGTCCTAACCATGGTGGGGCTCAGTTGGTGTAGACCCTCCATCTGTAGAAGTCCTTCCTAGGCCCCCTCTATTTTGCCTGCCTGAATCCGCAACTGAAACACTATATCTCTTGAGCACCCTCGATCATTTGAAGTGTAAGCCTAAAATCATACGACTGCCCACAATATCAAGTAGTTTGATACAAGTTTATTATGTATGATTTGCTCATATATGTTTCTGGTATGACATCATCATGTCTATTTGTGGGCCAATCACACTGATTTTGTAGCAAAGTACTTGAATGTGCAGACAGGGCTCAACCATTCTTGTCATTCTGTTTACAGTTACTGTTTGATACAATCCTTGATTACATTGCCAACTTCTCTGTTACCGATGATCTAATGGATGCAGTGATGGAGGACAGGTTGCAGTCATATCACAATCACATCATAGATCCAAGTGAAACAATCAAGTACGGTATAAAGCTCTGATCACGCTATCAGATTTGCTGTGACAAATATGTTTGATATCTTATCCAATCTAATTTAATTACACCTCAGATCCTACAATACATATAATATTAATAATAATAACAAATAAAAATGCCAATTCAAGTTAACATTCCTGCAATACAGTTTTCATAAGTAATTACCTGCAGTGGTGGATGGGGGGAGCCCCTAAATCTTTCAAAATAAAAAGAAAAATTGAGAAAAAAATATTTTGAGTCTTAAGAGTGCCATTTCTGGCTATCTAGAGGTGCTATAATCATACATTTTCGTACCTCAGCCTGAGGTACAGTTTATGGACCCTCCATCTGTGAAAGTCCCTTTCTGGGCCCCTATCTATATCACATTCCTGGACCTGCTTCTGACCTGTATATAATTTCAGTAGTAAAATAAGTTATTGTATATTTAACATTAATTAAATGTATTGTGTTAAATTTTGTGTTTTAGTGATGTTGAACTAGCAATTTTACAAAAGGTTAAATGGATTCCATCGGATATGTGGAAAGCCTGCCCCCATGTGACGAAAGCCATGGTGGAACAGTTTGCTATGGACTTCAGAAAAAAAGTATTTTTGGAGGTTTTGGTTCAAGGCAACTATACTTCACAGGTATTTGTAAACAATATGAGAACATAATAGAAATAGCAAATATGACTTTTTTCATTGATATCTAGATGATAGACAGCAGTTAGGGACTGTCTTCACATTAGAGTCTATAAATAATGAGTAATACTCTTAGTTATTTCATAGCTGCCACCATGAAGAGACACAAACAAAAATTAAATTGTATTGTTCACAATTTAGAAGACTTTGTATTCTATACGAAACAAACAAATGCTTTATAACAACTGTCAATGCTAAATATGTTTGTAATGCTAAATATGTTTTTAATGCTTTCACGTAGAAACTAGACTTCTTGTTGAGAAGGATAAATGTCAGTATAATTAACCTTTTCGAAGTATATAACAGTAGTTTAACATTGCTTATTATTTTAAAATTTAAAATCAACTGATGTGTGTCCTTTTGTATTTTTGCAGGAAGCGATTGGGTTTCACAACAAGATTTGCAAGAAGTTGGAGCTTGGGGTCATAGATCATCAGCCTAGCACCAGTATTACTAAGATTCCACTGGGCTCAACTGTCTGCAAAATAAAGAGCTTCAATCCTGGGGATACCAACACAGTGGTCAATAATTACTACCAACAAGGGTGTGGAACCATTCACAAGATCACACTTATTCATTTACTAGTGGTAAGTGTAGTGTTAAGTCAATTATTGATAGATAGATAGATAACTTTATTTGTTAAAATAAATTCATCTTCCATTGGCAAATATTCATTACATTACAATATAAAAACTATATAATAAAAATATTATGAAATATTAAAATTTTTAAAAAATACAATGATTAAATTACAAAACAGCAAATTTGATGAATAATTAATATTAAAAAAAGGTGATTAATTAATGTGGAATATAATGTATAAAAATTACAAATACAAAAATTATGATTATTATTATTACCGTACTACAAAATTTAAGATCCTTAGGTGAATTAATAATATCTGATACCATTTTATAATTTACACTAATCTTCTCCCAAAAAATACCTTACAACACCTTTCATTGTGTAGATGAATTGCATTTATAACGAACGAGTATCTAATTCTATTGCGTTTGGCACTGAGGGCTCTGAATCTAAATCCAGATCTCATATAAAAGAAATAATTTCTAAGTGGATGAGAATGATCTTTTAAAATTGTATGTAATTTATTTTTAATACTCTTCACATAAATTTCCTCTCTATTGTGTCCAATTCTAATCCAATACATTTCTGTGCAATTTTCATGATACTTTCCATTTTCTTTTTATTTTTAATTCCAAAATTTCCAAAAGTACAGACAATTCCAAAAGTAAGAACACTTTGTATAACTGATTGATAAAAAAACTTAAGTATGGTTTTGTCAACATTGAGGGATTTTAATTTCCTTAAGAAATAGATCATGGCGAAATTCTTCCCCGGTCACTGGTGGGTTGGATGATTGATTGCTAATTGCCTGCATGCTGCCTAAACGGCCTTCACAATGAGTAAACAAGACCTTGGTAGTAGGAGAAAATCGGACACGATTCAGCCAGTACTGCTCCAATCATGGTCAAATTTCAGAAAGTATACACAATTTCTGAATCTAATGTTATTATTTAAAGCAAAAATTGTTTTAAACCAAAATCCGACCATAATGGAAAAAGACAGTAGCTGTACGTCTGTGGATTTACTTTACTTTTTTCACGAATTTCGCGAACGTAAAACCGTGACTTGGCGATCGGGAGAATACTAGCCAGAAAGATGCATCAATATTTTATTAGTTCTCAAAAAACAAAATGGTAATTTTGGTCATTTTCAATACACATATGTATTGAAAATGACATGGTGTATTGGTGTTTATGCTGGCCTAAATAAATATAAGAATACGATTCTTTCTAGCTTATTCTATTTATTTTATGATCGTGTGGCGTACAACAGCAATGTTTACTCACATTTCCGGCTATCCAGGGGCTATTCTACAGCTTACAGCTGATGTATTTCAATCTAGGCTCAGAGAGTAGTAAATCTCTATTTTATAGGGCCTCCGAATCAAGCGATGAATATTTAGAACTTGACAGTTAGAATTTAGGAACAGAGAATAACTCGTCATGTATTAAAATCAAATGGTAAATTGATTTTATAACTGATATTCTGTATCTTCGTTGCATACGATCTACAGACAATTACTCGCTCTCACGGCCAGTGCACAACGTCACGAACAAACGAGAAGCCCATGTGCTTGAGTCGTGGGCGATTTAGAACCGTCCATTTTGTGGCAGGGTATTCATTTTGTATTATAACTATAAATACAAATGCCTAAACATTACCACATTTAAACATGTGTATTAACTGTTATAATAAACATGTTTAAATATTATATTAATATTCAAACACGTGCACTAACCGTTATAATACACATGTTTAAATAGTAAATTACAATAAGCTTCACCGGGCACACAATGGTTCGGCCTTGGGATGCCAGGGGTAGGCACTTCAGTTCAATCTTATTATTTTTGTTTGTTATGCATCGTAATTTTCCCGATTTTTAGGTGTGAACACAATTTGTATTTTCTTTTTAATTATACTGTGGTATAGACAAGAAGAACAATTCCCAGTAAAAAAATATTTGCGGGAAATTCAGTAGTTCTTCTGTTTGTTATGGACTGCCAATGCACTTTTTGACATCACTAAACATGCGCTCCCGATTATAACTTCTTTTTATTGAAAATGTAGGAATATGTTAAGAGAGTATTAATTGTTGTAGCCTAGATTGTAGGCTTATTCATTACGTTTGCCGTGCCTGACCATTGTAAACGAAATATCTCTTGCTCACTCTAGATCACTAACATTCCTAGGCCTAACTACAATACACTAGTACGCGACCTTCGCAGGCCGCCGGCAGGTAATTAGCGAATCTGTCACCCGACCTGTCACTTGTGACAGGGGGTTGGATGATCGATTACCCGAGTATGTCGGGTAGCAGGACCGAATTCGCTAAGGCAAGATTTTCCGCATGGCTTTGACTTGCTTTACTAACAAGATTACTGCAATGAGAACTCCATTTGAGAGAGTCGTAGAGTGTTACGCCAAGATATTTGTATTCGTTTACTCGTTCATAACATTATCATTAATTTCAACTGTGCCATGATCAAGATGCTGTAGCCGTAATTGAATATCATTTCCTTTGTTTTATCAATGTTTAGGATGAGATAATTATCATGGCACCATGTTACAAATTTACTAATCTCACCTTTATACACAACTGAATCATTCTTTAAATAGCCACAAATAACCATATCATCTGCATATTTAATAATCCTAATGTTTGGAGAGGTACAAATACAATCACTAGTAAAAAGAGTGAACAGAAGTGGCGACAGAACAGACCCTTGTAGTGTCCCTGTGTTAATAGACCGTAACTTTGACAGAGTATGGCCAACTTTAACTTGTTGTTGCCTGTTACTTAAAAAGCACTTGATCCACAGGGCTAGTCTGGGATTGATTCTCATATCCTTTAATTTATTAACGACCAGGGGGCGGATTTAATAAACTTGCTAAGCAAGAAAATTTGCTTAAATTCGTCTTAAATCCATTTTTTTGCTTAAGTCAGATTTATCAATATTGCTTAGCTTAGAAATTGTTTAAAATTTGCTTAAATTCGTTTTAACTTTAAGATGAAAACATACCTGCCTTAAGACGAAAATTTTCGTCTTAAGGCTGCCGCCTCAGATTTTGCAAGTGCGAGCGCACTAGGCCAAATATTTGATCTTTATTACGCGGATGCTGGCGCAGTCTGCCCCCATTGCGCGATGGACGCTGACAGTGCAACATAGTACATAAAGTTAGCCAAGGAGTTACACGAAACAAAAACGCATTTTTCGGTAGATATGGAACCATTCAACTTTCGAAATATTATTTTTAGGCAACTATAAAGTTTACCAACAGTTGCTGTAATAATTATTTGCCGAGTATTCATTCAGAAAAACGCAAAACGTCTTCAAACTTTTCGTAGCGTCACCGAGCGATAAACAAAAAATTCACAGGCTGATACGAGGCCCATCATACCGGCGGTGTCCTCGCACGTACTCTAGGCCTAGGCCGGCCTAATTGTAACCCAGTGCCCCAAACATCAAATAGGGAACTATATAGGGTTTCTGTCACTGTCAGAGGCTTTACGGTATTGCTAAAAGAGGTTTGTTGATAGGTATGTTTATTGTTACTCACTAGGCCTAACTAACATAAATAGGCCTAGGGCCTATAGAGTCTAGGCCCTAGCTAGGCTAGGATCGAGTAGGGCCTATGCCTAAGTAGAGTATTTCTTGTATCTAACCAGCTCATCTGGCAAAAAAATAAAGATAAATTAACTCGCATTTTTTTTTTATTGTAAAAAAAAAGGTTAAAGAAATTTTTTATTAAAAACATAGTTTTACAAGGATACAATACAAGGATACTTTATTCATCCTACTACGGGAACATTTCATGGCTGGATACAACAATGTAAAAAAACATGACAATTTACTAATAGTGATAATAATAATAATATTAGTAATAATAAGACTATTAATAATAATAATAGTTATGACAGTTTTGGCCTACACACAGCACCACTAGTTCATATTATTCGGTGGAAATTTTGTCTCACAATTTAGCTAATTTGGTATGACATTAATTAGCAAAACAGAAATTTGACTTGCCAAAACAATGAATATAAGCAGCAAAAGCTTCAATTCCATCAGCTTTATGGCTTATAAAAAATGTATTTAGCAAAATTCAGCTTTTATTAGGATTTGGCTTTTTGGCTAATAACAGCTACACTGCCCAAACTTGACTGGAAGATTTAACACAATTATAAAGTACATATAACATACTACAATAGTAAAAACAAAAATAATTAAATTTATGCTACCCACCATATGAACCACAATTGTTTAAAAATATGAATATATACAATACATAACCAATAAAGGACAATCATTAGTGTTTATTACACTTTTCTTACAATATATATCTATTGTACTGATACTGGGTAGCTTACTGCTTTTGGAATGAATATGAGAAGAGTTCATGAGACACTTGACACAACAATAAATATAGATATGTGCTTTTACACAGCAAAGAGCAATATATATTTAATGTAAGAAATTAATCTTGTGATTTACCTAATACTGTATATAAAATGTATAATATTACTTTACACCATGCAAATATCATTGGTATTATTATTGGTATCATTAGCATTTTTTTCGGATGTCGTCAGCACTTTGAAACTGCAAGGCATAAACAAATAATTATTCCATAGTGAGCTCCTTCGAATACTTAAATATGGTTGAATCCTTGAAACCGGCAGAAGAGGACGTCACTAATCCCTGGGTCTGAGGTGTTGGTTTTGAATTCTGCAGTAGGTCAGAAAGCTTTTATAATGCTCCATGAATTGGCTGTTTCAAAAAAATACATTGAGATTAATTTAAAGTTGTAAGAACCCTGTATCATATGCACTTTTTATGTATTCACTGAAGTGTCATACATTTTGATTCTATAGTTAGCATCAGTGGTCAATAATAATAATTTAATTCCATCCGTTCCACTAAAAAAACAAATGCCGAAACCTAGGAGGCAAATCTGTATACAGATTCTGGTAAGCCTAGATTGTTTTTTTTTTTTTGTTTCG